GATTGATGAGGAAAACCATATATATATATATATATCGTCACAAACAGAACTGCCCGGTAAACCGTAGGCAGAGAGAGAGAAGAGGACAACAAACGAGGGGCTGTGACAAACTGTTTCGTCGGAGTTTCACCGACTCATCAGGAGGCTGAACCCGCCCGGTCAGCTCAATGATGATATATCAAAGTCGTCGCTCTTTTTTTTTTTTTTTTTAAAACAGGAACGAGCAAACAAGAGAATCAGGAGACGGAGAGAAATGCGGCGGCCATGTTGTTGCATGATAGATAATTGTAACGGTTGATGGGAAAAAATAGAGCAGGAAAAAAAAAAAAAAAATAGAGCAGGAATTTTCCCGCATTTTTTGCGAAAAATAGATTATTATAACGGATCATGGAAAAAATAGATAATTCAGGACGGATACGATATGTTCGGGGCTACTCGCATTTTTTGGGAAAGGGTTTTCCTTTAGCCCCCTTCCCCCTCCCCCCTCCCCTCCTCCCCCCCCCCCCCCCCCCCCCCCCCCCCAACTCCTTCCCTCCCCCCCACCGGGCCTGGGTGCTTTTATTAAGGTAGGGCAGGGCCCAACCTTTGTGGCGCACTCCCAAAGGTTGAGGGCCGCTGCTAATCACGCGGAATGGGGTTTAATCCGTTGAGCTGCTGCCAATCACGCGGCTTCCGTTTGACACCGTTTGGGAACATGTAGCCGCACCGTCTGGCACCGTTAAGCCCCTCTCCGCTTGTGCGGGCCAGATGATGATGATGAAGAAGCTGCACGTATAGGTGCAGCAGCTTCAAGTACAAAGCTTAAGGGCATGTTCAGACTGGGGTAGAGATAATTCCCAGAGGAATGTGAATCTAGTCGCAAGACGGGGGCAGATTCATCGGTGGAGAAGTGTGCGTGAGTATGCGCTAAGAATAGTGAATTGATTTTCTCTTTCAGCTCGGTAATCGGACAACATTTCTCACACTTTCAACTTTCTCAAGTGAATCTGACCAGAATTTCGACCAGATCCATCATCTAGAAACAATGTGTCTCAGTCTGAGCGTGCTGACCGCAAAGCGTAGTCAGTGGGCGGACTGCCCTGCCGTCTTCCTCCCAATGCAACGCACGGTCATTAGAGCTGCATCTGGGTCAACTTTCAGTCCAAGTACAGCGGTAATGACGCTGCGTTCTATTCGGGGGAAGGCACCCAATATTGATATAGGCATAGTCAGCGTATAAAGCCCCCTACCGTTTTCCCGTCGAGTAGAGCGCACGGTCATTATAGCTGTATCTGGTGCAACTTTCAGTCGAGATACAGCGACAATGAGCACCTTGCGCGTTCTATTCGGGAGAAGACGGTAGTGCATTTTGCTAATTATGCCTTGAGGCACGCAATATTGATATAGCAACCGCAAGACCAGTCGGAATTTTTTTTTATTATTATTATTATTATTATTTTTATTAGTATTGATTTTAACCATGATGACGCGAATGATTGTTCATGAGAGTGGATAAGACTGCACGTTTTTTTGTTAAAGGAAAAGGGGGAAAAAAAAAAGAAAAAAAAGACTGCGCAGTGCTGCTCACTGGGGCTAACTCCGAACGCTGTTTTTGTTGTCGTCACAATTCAAAAGCATTGATTGAAGGATGGCGTTTGTCCTCCGTTGATTAGTAAATAAATACTTATATACATATATGTTGCCCCCTGTTTTGTTGTATTTGGCTGTTCCCTTCCTCCTCTTTTGATTGCCTCTTTGTCCTTTGGCTGTGTGCAAGTGGGTCGATATGACACACGGGGGTGGGGGCAGCCGCCGCTCAACCTACATGCACGTGGGCGACCTTGTACGCAAGAGGTTCTGAACAGGGGGAGTTGTAAGGAAGACGATGAAAAAACACTTAATATTTTTCTTGTTTTCCTTCTGTTTTTTTTTTTCGCTTTTGCGCTCTGATATCTTTGTGACGATCTATGTATGTATGTATGTATCTATGTATCTATCTATCTATCTATCTATCTATCTATCCTCCTGATGAGTAGGTAGGTGAAACTCCGACGAAACAGTTTGTCACAGCCCCTCCCTCGTTTGTTGTTCTCTTCCTCTTCTCCCTCTCTGCAAGCTACGCTTTACCGGTCAGTTTATATAAACTTCAATGATGATATCTCAAGGCCGTCGTCCTTTTAAGAGAAATAAAACACAGAAGGCGCCAGAAGGCCCAGAAGTTTTTTTTTTTTTTTTTTTTTTTTTTTTTTTTTTTTCCAGCAGTGCAGTAAGGCAGTGTAAGCGAATAAACACCCAAATTAAATTAAATAGAAATCAAGGGGGAAAAAAAAAAAGAAATCGTCGAAACGAAGTCAAACTACTGCGACATTGGAATCCATATTAAGGCGAAACACCCAATAAAAAAAATCCCAATCCCAATTTTTTTTATTTTTTATTTTTTCCCAATCATTTCTTTAACATCGTGAAATTTACAATCTAAATGAAATTTGGCAGGCTGTAAAAAAAAAAAAAAAAAAAAAAA